ATCAATTCTTTCTAATGATGATAATGAGTTTCGTTCCAGAAGCTCCAAAATAACGTGCAAGATAATCACTCCATCAGAATTTCACGAGAGAGGATGTCAACTTTCCCTGCAATTTTCTGTCTCTATCGATGTCATCTACAAAGAGCTTGTAAAACGTGGTGTTGCTGTGAGTTAGCAACCTTCTTCAAAGTTTTTACTCAGAAAATAAAACAATTACAGTGTGACAAAAGATACCCGGATGTGATACGTGTCACTCCTGTTCATCTCTACAACAACTACGTCGATTGCCGACGCTTCATCACTGCGCTTCAAGAAGCCTGTGCCGTCGCCGAATCATCTCTCTAATTTTTTTGTAGCTAAAGTTTTGTCAAGAATTCACAAAAGTAAATAATTTCAAGCGTCATGTTCTTCATCCGCTTACCAGTTGCGGCCGCAGAAAGTTATCTGAGAGGAGGGCGAAAATCTTTCAAAAATTCTGTATCACAAAGCTAGTTTCTTTTCAGAATGCAATTTGCTGCCTCAATTCTCTGATAATACAAGCTGAAACAAGTTGATTGCGCGTCTTTGTAGTTTGTGAGATCATTTATAATTTTATGACCCGTTCATTGAGAGGGAGAGGGAGAGGGAGATACCCTCTGAGCTACCGTCTACGCAGCTCTCTGGTAAGCCACCCTTAACTGTAGCTTTTTAGAGGGGTCTAAAATACGGTCCGCGATGGTCCTCACATAGGTGGGACTTCGTACTCTATTCCTTAATTTGAAAAATAATAAAGCGTGACTTTCTTCAACTGGTTCAGATTATCTCGTCTTGTTTGATTCCTCCAAAATCGACTCCACCATTATTGATGCTTCAACGGTCTGAGAAATTTTATGAAAGACCACAAACTTGTACATATGTCAACCTTCTCTCCAGGTTACTTCATTATCTTATCACTATAAAACGGCTGAAAAACTCGACTCTTATATAAACTCCAACCCTCGCTCGTCTGAGTACCCAGGATTGGACCAGCTGGATCCGCGTTCTACAGTCTTTACAGTACTTGCCGATAACCGTAGGCTTGCTCTCGTAACGTTGTCAACTCTCGT